CGTTGGAGTTATCAAATGACTCATCGGGTATAACGAACTCCATTTCTTTGTATCGCACTGGGCAATCCTAGTATATATTTATATGTTATTACTATTACTATTGCAATCTTTATAATACATAATATTTACATATTGTGCCAAACCGTGTTACCTATTTCAAACAATTGCAATTGTTTCTTATAATATAAGAACATATTATGTTGTATTTCGATAATATGCATGCTGTCATTTTATCATCAATCGCAATCATAATTAATAATAATGATCATAATATTAAATTGTTTATTTAATTCAACAAACTCGTAACTGACAAATCCACATTACAATAAAAAATATGATTGTTATTAGAAAAGTATTATAACGTCTAGGTTATGGATTTATGATTCAAGTTTTTAAAATTAAATTTGGGGTCAATTCCTATTGGGATCTGAGTGACAAACGTGATTTATGTAAATTTGGTATACAGATAATAATATATCCTTTACGTATTTCCGATATGCTGATTAATTTCAAAAGGTATTGTTTATATATTTTTGTATATTATATACGTGTCCTTGTCATTGATCTTAACGGTGAATACCTATAAGATCAGATAAATGTTTTTATCAGCCAATGTCGATGACAAGTGATAAATGATAACAATACTGTGGATAACAGAATTTAAATCTTACGTTTTATTTCTTGATAAAAATTACGGACTCGTTTTCATCAATGTGAAACAAACTGCTCTACTAATACTAATACTCATAATATTATAATAATTTATTAGTAGTTATTACTTACCTATGTCACTATTTAGCATGACGTACTATGTACAATTATCTTTAATGTATACTTATTTTTTAATTTGTTTGTATAATGTATAAACCCTCATCATATACAATATACAAATATTTTGACATAAAATTATATTTTTTCGTTGATACCTAACAGTCAATAGACAATATGTACGTATATTATAAGGATTTATTTAACAATCTATTGTAATATTTCTAGTTAAAAGTTATTTAAACTAGGTATGTGGTTGTTGAAATATTATAATCTGACTAATGGTAAAACAATATAATATCATCTAGGATTTGTCTTACTCGAATTAAGTTAAAACCAGTTAGGTATTTGTATTTCAATAAAATAAACGCTTTGACTCATTTAAATATTTTAATATTACTGTGACTAAAGCTTGAAAACCACATTCCAAATCATGGTGCAACGTAAAATACTATTTTTCATACGTCCGAATGATGTTCATATCAATTGTGTATGTTTAGAATACATTTTAGGTGGTAGTCACTATATTGTGTAATATACTTGTGGGAATCCAGCATAATATATAAATATTGTAATGAATGATAATATTATTTTGTTACACGAAAATATAGATAATTATAAATAAAGTTATACGATATAGGTAAATAAGACAGAGTAATCATATTAACAACTATAGCATAACTATTAACTATTATAATAATTTATAACAATATTATATTATATATTACTATATATTATTATATATTATATATTATATACATTTTGCTACTTACTGAGAATAACTGAATTTCTTTCCTATAATCATACAATACAAATAATCTAACTTTAAAACCTATAAATTCAAAGATTTATAAATTAAAACTGTTGAGTATTCATATTCAGCATTTTTTTTTGCAATTTTAAAAATTTGATCTTAAAATTAAATTGAATATTTGAATTTGTAAAAGAAAAAAATTATTTTAACTTATAAGCATTTATATGTAGTGGTAAAACAATTTGTGGATAAACTAATAAAAATGAAACAATAAATATTGAGATGTTTGAAATCAAATATAATTTTATTTATGAAATTAATCTCAAGTTACTTTTTACTATTTTAGTTTTTTATTATAATATTGTTTTTACTAAAAATTCATTAATTGTTTGCTTAAAATTTACTCAAATTTTTTAAATTTCATATAAAATAATAATGATGGAACTATTAATGTAAACACTGCCATGTATATCTTGGTATTTGTGTTACATAACTAGAATGACTAATAGTTGCTTATTACACTATAAATAGGTAAAACAAATAAACTTTTATAGGATTATTTGATTCGTGTTTTAAAAATAAACCTTGATCGATTTTACGGAAATTAGATAATATCACTATATCAGTATTATTTAACCAAACAATGACGTTTTCGCATTGAATATTGTTGTTTGAACTTTGAAGTCCATTCTCGTTACCGCAGATATTAAAAATATACGTGACTTTTTAGTGTTATTAAAAAAAGACTTAATTTTAATAAATACTAAATCTAAACAGATACGCGATGTGCATAGGTTATAACTTTATGCGTGGAGGTCAGGATTAATTATTGCCGATCTCATCTCAGAAATGATATTTTCAGGGTGATTTTTTGTTTTTCTAACTCGCGCAACGGTCGTTTCCTCTTTCGTTTTTTTTTTTTTACTGTAATTATGTATTTATTTTTACATCAAATAATTTATAAAACCTTTTTGACGTGCATTGTCAAGTTCAAGTACCTTTCTGGGCGGAATAGTTTTCTCACTGCGGTGGTAATTCTCGTGGCGTTTGAACGTGCGTTGCCAATTTATCCGTGACTGTTATTTGCATGACAAAATAACGTAATTTTCGAATGGATAATTCAGTTAATTGTATGTTGTTTTTTTCGGTGCACAATCTCTCGCTCACACACAAACGCTCCGACGCCTCGCCACAGGTAAGACTATGTACAGGTGGTTAGGTTGGGCCGTCCCTCTATATTATGTATAAATAATTTATTATAATATATTATATGTATATTTATCGTATAGGTAGAAAGTATAAATATATACATAATATAATGTAGATGCGTAGTGAAAAACTATGTGTATATTGACTCAAGTGATTGATCGTGTAATAACAATATTATACTTAGCGTTTCCCGGGAAAATTGATTTTCTGTACCTATACATATACGATATACGTATACATTTCGCGTATCAACTTTCACGATTGCGCCAGTATTATAGTGGTGTGCTCTCGACCGCGGGAACAAAATGTTTAATCGATCTGATCGTTGGATTATGATGTGATACGCGTGGGAGTTTGGGACAGTCGACATCAGTGACGTCCCCCCCCACACACGCATCACGAAATGTTATTTTCAGTTAAAATTATAAATTATTAGGACATACAACACATTGTTGTGGTGTCTGCAGGAAAATGTCAACTGTACAGTTATCGTTAACAGTACCTATGTTGTACAGTTACAATATTATGAATAACCGTGTGTTATCAATTTTTATATGCAATTATCTGCATGGATAGGTGGTAATGCGATCAGTGCCGTGGCGTTTAATCTAGAGGCAGCCACCACTGAGTTTTTTTTTAGGGGTGGAATTGGTAGTAAGCCATTGGGTAATTATTTAGTATTTACTACAAACATTTAAATTTAAAAATTTCGCAGTAAATAATAAACATAGGTATATCTAGGGCTTCAGGTATGTGTATGGAATATTAGACTTGCCTCTGAAAAATTTCGAGTTCACCAATCCACTACTTATGAATATTATGATACTATAAAGTATAAACCCACCATAAACAATTAGGTAATATAAAATATGTGGCTATATGCTACCCACAGCCGTGAATATAACGATCAAGCTAATATATTGGGTTATCGGCTGATATGAAAAAATATATTATATAAGCAAATTTACGTTCAGCGGCGGTTTACATGTAGTTTCGTTGTTTTAATATTTGAGTAAATTGCGACCTAATGCCCCTATTGTACAATTTAAAGGTAAACATTAACTGTGTTTTCTCCTAGAATTGATAAGATATTTTAATTTTTAAGCTAGCTATTATGTGCATTATTTATTTTTATTTTATATTATAGCCTGTAGGTATACCTATAGCAGTATAAATTATAATATAAATATATAATATATAGCAAACTTAAAACTAGCTTTAAAGTTTAAAATATATCGAAACAATTCTCCAGTCCAGATTATGTTGTTTCTTATAAATTTCATAATAGGTCAAGTATCAATATCGAAATTACAAATTTACTTTCTAAATCAAGTTAATGTTATTGATCAGGCATTCAGGTCCGATTGATTAACGTATTTAATGCTCCAGGGCAACACAATATATTATATTTAAATATTAATTTAAATTTATTGTCTAATATTCTCATAGTATATATTATATTCTTTTTGAATATTTTAAAAATGTCACTTAGGAACGATACAGTTTTCGTATATTATAATAATTCATATTCGATATAATCCCCTATGAAAATAAATTATATAGTTGCATCGCTGATCGACGTATCCTATTTAAAATATTTATATTGAATACTGCGATACATAATAATATATAATATTAGTATTAAGTAACTAAGTAAGTACACTGTCCATCTCCATCAAATGGATAATGGATATTTATGAAAATCCTCGTTTGATGTTTAAGTCGTAAGGATAAATAAAGAATAAACTCCAAGATTGTCGGAGAATCGAACATATACTGCAGGGTAATTCACCAAACATGCAGCCCGTTAATTCAAAATGTCATGAGTTTAATTTTTTTTGTATTCCAATATTTTCGAATACATTAAGAAGTGCCCTGTGAATTGTGATAGTACTAACTTTTTTGTTCAAACGAGAACCAACACGTTCAACTGTAAATTATTATAGGCAGATAATTATTATGTATCCAAACGGATTTTGAATCGGTTTCTGAGTTTATGTACTAATATTGTGACTAATTAGCCTATAGAGTATAGGATAACATTATTAACGTGATGATAGGTTCGAAAAATATTACCCAACTCAAACACACGTTCCTTAAACAATTTTTACTATAACTTTATAATGGTTAGGTATACATTAGTAAAATAATGTCATTCACGTCTAACATAATAATATGTTATGTTTGTGCTTTGGTAGTTTGCTGTAGTTAGTTGCGTAAATAATTATTGTCCAATGTCGTTATTGAGCGCAGTCGTGAATGAATTGAAATGAAAAAAACACCCATGGCAATCAAACACCTATACATTGAATATCGATATAGGTTTATGCGTCAGAGCATGCATCCTGGATTTTTTCGTAAGTCAGTCGCGCACAATAATATGATGACGCGTGTCGCGTGTGTTATGTGTATGCAGTGTGACAAAACGAGAGTAAAATAAAATAATAATCCTTGCTCGTTCGTTCTTTGCAAGGTTACTACATCATTTGATATTCTGCTCCGTTGTATGGAATTATTTCCGCAGTAATCGTATATACTACTATATATATGTAATGATATCGCTCTTTTAGTAATGCAAAAAGTATCATTTGGAAATTTGGTCTTTAAGTAATTTCTAAAAATCTAAAATTTTAAAGAAATGTATTATTAAATGAAAACTCGGGCGGGGCGAGCATGCTTGGTGAATAAGTAATAAATACTATATAAGTAATAACCCTTCAAACTATTTAAACCGAAAAAAACAGGACAACAATACTGACGGTTCAAGGTTTACTAAAATAAACAAATACACAACGTGTATAATTATTTTACACGTCGTTGTTATAACGATTAATGTATTCTTTGTTGTTTAATTTGAATTGTAATGGCAAATTATTTTAATGACAATTTAATTTTGTATGGCCTATAAAATAGTCATAGCTGATAAATGGGGCATATTTTTGTAGTTATTTTACTGTGAGGAATGCGTATTACGAGAGAGTTAAATGCACAATAGCATCAAACGACTATAGTTGAAGAGTTTTAATTATAAATTCCAAAAACACAAATTTTAGTTGAGTAATTTTACCAAATTACAAAAAACTAGTGTTTCAGATAATTCGGCAAGATTCTGTCAACATTAAATATTGTATGCCATTATAGTTGTTCATTCTTACTATTTATGTATGTTTGTGGTTGCCCCAATCAGTCCCCTAGTTACTTACTATATAAGTATCAAGTAGTGTCAAACCTGGCTAGTGAGGTAGTAATAACAATTTTTAAATCGAATTAAAAAAAAAATATTAAATGTTATTCCTTGAAACGAGGAATCTCCATACTACATTTTGTGTATAAAATATTATAATGACGTAGACGATGACGATAAATATGAAAAAACATATTATGGTACGAACCACAAAATACCATTAATAATGCCAATAAACAATTATTGACGATACATATTGTTTACTGAATATTGTGTTATAATATGACGAAACTCAAAACCTACGTGTTATACAATATTATATAATATTAAACATATTATTATAGATTTTATGTAATAATGTGTCGTTGTTTATTTTCAGGGTTCATTGATGTCGAAGGTGATAATACAATTCAAATAGATTATTTGTCTCACGAATGGCCAATATTGGTAAGCCATTACTGGGCAAGTGCTACCGTGTTAGTTGCTGGATTGGTGTTTGCTGTTTTAATGCCACTAATTGGTCTGACCTTATGCTGTTGTCGTTGTACTGGAGGTTGTGGCTCGCGGTCTCAACCCTTTGACGCCAAATACGATTCTTGCAAGAGACAGTTTTATGGCATGATACTAGCTGGGCTTACTATACTAATATCGTGAGTCTGCATACTTTATACCTATATAACTTGCTAAGTGTTATTATTCACCATACTGGATAAGTATAATGCGAAACATTATATGTATATAGTGTATCTTAATTTTATAATTGAATTGCGAATTTCAAAAAGGGCCCATCTCGAGTTTTTATCAAAATATACTTTCCCCTGTTTTTTTCATTTACACTCATATAGACCGATATTTTATGAGCAAAAAGAGCTCATATCTGTTAGCGAAAAGGGTATATATTTGTTTCAATTTTAAATCCCTGTAATCCTCGTATAAATTTCGAAAAGGACTCATCTCGGAAAACATAATGAATCACATTTCTAAAAAAATTTCACTTCAAGAATATTGTATTACGTAGGCTTAACATTTAATATTAGTCCGTAATTTTAGAAAAAAAAATTGGTACAAAAAAAAAAAAATTAAAAAAAAAACAGTTTTTTGTGTTTCTTGAAAAATTTTAATTTTCAGTTATGAGTCCATTTCGAAATTCCAGGTTCAATTAGTATATGATCAAAATCTATAAACATACGTCATATCTTCTATTAGATTCGGAGAGGAGCAATAAATGTATTTACATAATAACGATGAGTGTTTTAATGATGCTTCCATCTTGAACATCGATGGTGGTTTCTGGTAGTTAACCGAATCTAGTTGATATTTTGTGTTCAAAAGTTAAAATTACCAGAACTTTAAAAAAAATAATCGGGAAAGTCAAAACAAAAAAAACTACGGTAAACCATGCAGTTTTTGACAAAATGTTAATTTGTTGTAATTCAAAAAGGAAAATCTGTAGATACTTGCACTTTTCACAAAATATTCATATAGATATTTACTAGACGTGATACAACTTTCAAAATATTTTGGCTCTTTGAACTATTTATAGATGACAATAGATGTTCGAATCTTTCTTAGTTTATTTTTGATTTATATATGATACAACTTTTGTTAGTGAGAAAAAAAGGACTTCTAAATACACAATTCCTCATAAGATTATAAGGGATTATAAAATATTGAAAATAAAGTAGTCTTTTTTTTTTATAAGCATTTTAAGTTCAATTTTTGCGAAATTTGTTATTTATGTTGTAATTTAAAAACTCTTAGTCGTACCTAGTAAATTGAAACATTACTATTTTTAAAATTATATTTTCTATGTTTTGTAAAATATTCAAAACTTTTAGACAAATTTGAATCTATTTATAGAAACTTGACGAATTTATTTAGTTTTTTTCTATAAATGTTTACAAAAAAAATATGCTCGACCAAAATGCTTGAAAATTTAACACGAGATAATCTCAAATAGGAGATAAGTTGTTATTACAACCGTTTAAAAATATCGAAAATATATTGCCAACATTTTTGTAAAAGCAATTAAACATGTGTTTAAGCTCGGAAAAATCACTTAAATTAAATTATATAGCAATTAAAAAATTATAACATTTTTAATTTTCATAGCTAAGACTTGAAAATGTAATGCAATGGTTCCTCTTAAGTTTTTCCTATAGAAACCTAAAAATCTGAATAATTCAATTTTATAAGTACCTAGGTAATATTGTAATAATATAATATGTGATTTCTTTTAGCAAAAAATAGTTTAATACCTAACCTTATTAGTTATTACCAACAAAAAAATTAATGTCTTCACCAAAATATATATTGTATATAATAAAATATTCTTAAATAATATAAACTGATCGTCTCTGCTCAGAATGGTTTTTCATCTTATACAAAGATTTATGATTGAGTTCTAATTTAATACATCCATTGCAGTGACCTACTTGTGTATGCTGTAGACTATGACACCTACCTATACAGCAATGCTTTTTTTATAATATTAGTGTGTTTGTTCATTTTTTATTAGCAATAATCAAAATCAATGGTTTATAATACTTTTATACTTAGTCATTAATAAAATAAATTTTGTTTTAGATTTGGCGTAGTTTGTACATTTGTGAGTAATGAATATTTAGAAGATGGTGTTAAAGAGTTACCAACAAATGTTAAGAAATCTTTAAATGATACCAGACTATTTATAAATAATACAAAAAAAGTAAGAAATTCCTGTTCTTCTTCTAAAAAAAAATGAAGCATCATATTTATATACATTAAAACTTTCATATTACAAATCTCATGGGGAACAAAAAAAAATTGTTTCTCAAAAATATTTTGTTAAACAGAAAATTATGTTAAATTGAAGTTTGTTACATACTTAGGTATATGGAAGTTTCATTGTATTATACTTCTATATTTTATGTATATAATTTATTGTAAATTGTCTATATTATTTAGGAAGTTGATAATTTATTAGTTGTAAATTTTGATGAGTTGGAAGGAACACTATCAAATATATTGGAAGGTAAAAAAATAGTTTTTTTTATAACAATTAAACAATAATTAGGTTTTAATTAAAAAATAATACATTTATTTATGTTACAGCTAGTGGTGAAATAGTTAAAAAAAAACTTGGTGAAGTTTCTAAAGCATCAGTTTTATCTAATTTAACTGCCGTTGTAAATGGACTGGGGCTCATCAAACAAGATCTTTCTAATGTAGATTCATTGACTCGTCAATTACAGGAAACAGCTCTGCAATTAGATGCTGGTACGATCCTTTATTATTTAATTATTATCATTTAAAGAAAATGGCCCATTGTGAATAATTATTTGTTTTATTTAGCTTTAAAGGAATGTCGATCAATTATAATGAAAAAATTGGAGTCGTGTCGATTTGAACGTACTTGTCGTGAGATTTTAAATCGGTTTAATATCCAGGATCTTTCTTTAGAAGCAAACTTTAGTCAGGTAACCAAATAATATATCAATATATATAAATTATTTTTAACTACTTAATGTTGAAATCTTAATTTTGTTTGCTTACCGTGGATATTAGATATTAGACAATGATCTTCCAAAGGTAGGTTATACAATTCCTGGTTTTCTTGTGTCTGCTATTTTATGTCTTAGAAAAAAATACTATCTGAGCTGTTTTATAATAATATACCATGATGTTAATATTGTTTAAAATTTAACTAAATACTCAAATGCCGGTTAATTATTGTTAAAACTTTGTGTTGAATTTTTTTTTTCTAGTTGCCAAATGTAACTGCTACTTTGAAGAATATATCTGATTTTATTACTGCTGACATTGAAGAAGAGGTAATGAAGGGTCAGCAACAATTTGAGAAGGTGAAAACAATTATACAGAATGCTGTTAATGATAATATCCCAGAAATAAAATTAAATATTCGAAAAGTGGGAAATGCAATCAAAGAAAATTCTGTAAAAGTAGATAAAGTTTTAGATCGTGTAGATACCACTATTGCTAACTCATATTCCCCGACGGAACAAGGAGAAGGCCTATTAAAAGAATTTTCACCTTATCGGTAACTAATTTCTACCCTTAAAATTATCAATATATTAAAAATTTGTTTGTTTGTAGGTATTATGTTTGTTTGGGTGTAGCAATTACACTGTTTTTGATTTTGATGTGTCTAACTCTTGGATTATTCTGTGGATTTTGCGGTAGTCGACCAGAAGGTGGATATCATCATGATGATTGTTGCAATAAAGGAACTGGAGCTTCATATTTGATGATGTATGTTACTTAAATTATATTTAAATATTACAATAAGTATATTGATTGTCTGAATATTGTGTGTGTTACAGGGCTGTATGGTTAATGTTTTTGTCATCAGCATTCTTAATGATCATTGCTTTGTTTTATTTTGTTACTGGTGTAACTACAGACCGTATTATATGTGAACCGTTGCAAAACCCTACACCTTCAAGGGTTTTGAACATAGTGAATCGTTTGTATGATGTATCTGCAATACATAAATTAGATAACCATCAACAACCTTATGTAAGACCATCACCAAACAATACTGATTTTAATATTAGTTCCATAATTCGGTAAATAACTCTAATAATTAATAACTAATTAACAAACATTTGAGTACTGTAACATTTTAATAATTATGTTGTTAATTTACAGAGATTGCCATCGTAACATGAGTTTATTCCAAGTTTTAAAAATGGAAAGACTTATTGATCTGAACAAAGTTTTAGAATATCCCACTTCTTTTGGTATCGATCAACATATTGATGAATTAGTATCAAAAATAAAATTAGAAGGAGAAATAGTAATCTTGACTCCTGAGGCAGAAAAACAATTGATAAAATTATCTAAATCACCTCTATCCAGTATCAATTTTCCAGCATATACCCATGTTGTAAGTTTTCATTAAAGCTTTTTGTAGTTTTATTTTATCCTAGAATGGAATAACATTTTGTCTGTCCGACTATAGCTTGGTGAGAAAATTACTTCAATCGATTTGATTCAACTTGCTGATGCACTCAATCAAACAGCATCCCAACTGCCAATGTCAAAATCAGAAGTATATATTTCAATTAAATGATTAAATTTAATAAAATATTAACTAATCAACCATTTAATTTCTATAGGTTAAATTTTCACTAACAAACCAAGCAATGTACTTAAAGGTACATCAGGGACAACAAGTGGCATTAATGCTAGATATAAGTCAACGATTAGAATCCACTGCTAATCAGCTTCAAGAACATTTACGTTTTAATCATTCTTCATTACGCCATGCTGTTGAACATCTTCTAATTGAGGTTGAACAGGCTCAAAAGTATTTATATACTGAAGGGCCAACAATAGTGACCAAAGTAAGTTATAGTAATTATAATATAATATATAGTAATTGTTTATGTAACTATTTTATGAACTCCCCTCTTTCAATACAAACTTTAGCTTAAAGAAGGTGTGCAAACAGTTATAATAAATATAATATAATTAAAGTATTGTATTAACTGTTTGTTTGTAAAAAAATATCTATTCTAACTTAAATTTTGTAGATTTGTGTTTTTATTTTAATAAAACATCTACAAATACTAAGTTATAAATACTGTTGTTATTAGTAGTATATGTTATAATATTTTCCAGCTCGCAAAAGAATTTGGAGAAGAATTTAACAAACACATAGATCAATATTTACAAAGGGTCGTAAGCCAAATTAGAGAAGATGTAGGTAAATGCTGGCCTATGTCACAGGCTTACAATGCCACTATTGTTGCTGGATGCCAAAAAATACTTAATCCTTATGTGAGTATAAAACTATCAAATAAATATATGCAGTAAAAATTGTAATTTATAAACAACTAAATAAAATATATGGACTTCAATACTATTATTCAGTGAAGTGGTATAATATTAAATTCATCGACAAAATAAATGTCTACAAAGATTATTCATATTTTAAAAAGACATTATTGGGGAGCAGATTTATATGCATTAATGAACTTAGCATTTTAATGCTCTAAAAATGAAAATTATAAAAAAATTATCATACATTTTTTTGCTCATGGCAATAATTCGTACATTATGATTGGTACCTGCATTTTAAGTATGTTAGTCCAATCTCAATGTGGTATATCAACCAAACACAATTTAATAGTCTAAAATATATCTTTTAAGACGATTTTATCAAGTAGGTATTAAAAATATTAGTATGAATAATATCCAAAATATATGTTTAATAGCAAATTACCTAAGTAATACCTTGAAATCCTAAAATATACACTTAAAATCTAACATAAAAAAATAGTACTCAGTAATCCTTAAGGAACGCATGTTCAACTTATTTAAAATTTGATACCCAGAAATAAAGATGCATGTACATACAAATTTGCTACCTAGGCATTATGTGTAAATTATGCATCATTAATAAATTGTTGTAATCAGTTTACACACTCATAACAGTCATAACATAAACATAGTAAAGTAAATATTTACATTTAATATGAATACATACTTCATACTTTCATTTTAATATAAGAGTACATTTACCTGATATTAATCTTCTTGGAGTGTACACTGTCACTGATTAACAATTTAATTGTTGGAAGATTCAACTGTGTGCAATTATTTAAACCATATTTAAATATTGGTAATATTGTTTATTTTTCAATATTTTAGAATGGTTTTTGGATGAGTGTCGGCATTTGTTCAATCCTCTTCATGCCCATTATAATTCTTTGTGTGAAATTGGCTTCTCTCTACCAGAAGTCAGATCCCTATCCAGGGCCATTAGTTGAAGCGTAAGTATTGATTTTCTTTCTATGAACTTGTTTTAATTGTTATTCATGTTTGTTTTTATATTATAGTGAATACTTATATGATGCATACACAGACCGTGAAAATATTCCATTAGCAAGGTAAAGTATTTTATTATAGTAGCCTGTTTTTATTTTTTAATTTTCTTAATATATTTTATCATATACTTTATATATAATTGTATATTTAGTTCAAACAACAAGAAAAAAAACGCAAGGAATAAACCACGTAAAAAAGTGACTACTGCTCCAAGTGGAAATCGATCATCAAATATACCCATAGGCTATGAGAATATGTCCAACCCAGAAATTGCTGTTAACACATCAGCTAACGAAAGTCGTCATCCTGGACATGGTGGTTCAGTTGATTATAGTGCACATCTTGGGCGAGCGAATATTGTAGTACCTACTACAAGCCCTTCAGGTGGTCTACCTGAAGCACAACCAAAGTATGTTTTACTGTAAAATATACCGTTGAATTCTTTTGAATAACAAATTAAAATCAAAAAGATATGCTTGTATTTTTTGTCTGTCTTACAAACATGACAAAACATTTAAATTCAAAGTAATCGATACAGTTTTATAATTAATGCTATTGTAGTAAATCGACCTATTATAAATTAATGTTTTTTTAGCTTTTAGTAAAAACTGATAGCTTGACAATTAATACAAATATTACATAACACACTTCATAACTTATAATAATATTACATTGTGTTGTACACAATAATAAATTATATTAATGGAAAATTAAGTATGAGCCTTGATAATGGAGATAACTATAACTGTGGAAATAATAAACAAATTTAATATAGACTGAGATTAGGTAGTGCCTTTAGCAGCAATAAGTAAATTTAGAACAGAAATAAGCAAAATTAATGAACTGATTTTTGAGTTTAATTGAAATGATTGTGGTATAAAATATTAAAAATCCATTCTGAAGATGAATTTCAGTTTTTCATTGCTCCTATGTATGATTTATTTATTTTTTATTATAGGTTAAAATATTAGTAATATCAAAATGTAACAATGCTTTTCATGTTGCAATAAAATTAATGTGAAAAAACTGACTAGAGAACTCTAATTGTCAATTTAATAAATCAATAGTAAACAGGCAAGGATCTAGAAATGAAAAATGGGGGTAGGGCTAGACAAAAAAATGTACTTTAAGTACATAAAAGCATGGGCATTTAGTTTAAGTTTTGAAATATTTTAAGTACTGAAGTCCTAGTCTAAGGGGGGGGGGGCTAGCCCCTTGTATCCGCGCCTGATAGTAATACTTTAATAGTTTAATTTTTGACTTCAAAACTAAAACTGTATTGGTTGTATGAAACATAAATTGATTATGTTATGCATAAATATCTCATTCAATATTGAATAGTATAATATTATATTAAGTATTTCAATACCATTAGTATTCAACCCTAATTGTAAATTGTAATCTTATAGCCACAATACGTTAAATACGTAAAGCTGTTTGACTACACTATGTATGTAACAACTAATATCAGTGTATGTCTATTTTAATAATACTTTTCCAATAATAAGTTGCATTAATTATTTATGTAATTATATTTTAAGGCCTACCTGGGACTTCCCAAATGGTGGACCACCTCATTATCAAAATCCGATCTCATCTGAATATGAACGCCCACCGCCATATTACTATCCTGGCCCTTCTGGACCACCAGGGTAAGTAATAAATTTTACTTTTCACTATTTAATACTGTATATTAAATAGACAAAATGGACAATGATAAAAAAATATTTTGATTTTTTCTGGAATTTGTCTCTTAGCCATTGTCAACATTTGAACATAATTGCTCTTTGCATCTCGAAATTTACCATTTTTGTCAAACTTTGAATACACATTAATTAAAAACCTTTGTGGATGCAAAAACTAAGGACAATTTTTTTAAATTATTCAAATATAGTTTGACTGTAAGAGTTACCAGTTAAAATAGTTTATTATAGCAATCTGCTATTTTGTCAACCAAGCATATTATTAGATTAGAGAAGTTTACATAAGTAATATCATGCCTTTGAAGTTGTAATGTTAAATATTTGTATCATTACTATTTTTATGTGCCTTTAAGGACTCTTGATGTGTAACTGCCATAGAAGCGCCAAACATTTAAAGTTTAAAATATACTAATCTGCATAAAATATATTGTTTGATTCCGAACAGACAGTCAACAATATGTACTAGGTGATGTTCAATACGGGGTAATTGATTGAAGTATTTAACTTAGACACTCATAGTGAACTTTAATAATAAGTGTCTTCGATTAAAAAGAACACCCTTTAATTGTATTTTTCAAGTTTAAAGATTTTGTGTAAGTTGATATAAAAACACTTCAAAATTCCTTTAATATTTTGTTATTTCTATTAAAAATATACCAACAATTTACCTATTTTATTTTAGGTATTTATAAACATAATTTGTATCTTACTTGTATAATTTTATTATTCCAAGTTTAGACTAATAATCTAGCAATACATTTCTTTTTAAATTTAATATTATTATTATTATAATTGCGATAATATATATATTTTTTTTTTATTACAGAGCTCCGCCTGAATCTCAGTCGTCATAAACTCATCAATTATACAAAACTTAATCCATTACAATAATAACCTTTTAAATTGAGAACTGACTACATTTGAAGAGTTGTGACCCCCTATTTTTGTTTAAGGTTTAATTTAAATACCTAGTTGACTTGAACATTGATTCCAAATGTATTAATATAGTTGATTGCTCTCTTTATCATTAAAATAAGATATTTTTTTGTTAAATACAAATATATATTACAATTAAAATAAAACAATTATACTTTGCCATCGCGCTCAAAGAAAAAAGAACACATTTATATTGTACCATTCCTTCAATACTGCCTTATTTATTCATTGTGATCAATTATTTTTTTTATGTTTAATAAATAAATTTTTTTTATTCCCAGTTAAGTTATAAATTAGTTTGAAATTTGTTATTTAAAGACTAGATAATAGCTCATAGATACATTCTTATGTTTCAATTTGCCTTCTAAAATTCCTTGTAAATATAAATAGAATAACACATTTAGCATTTTTTTTTTTTTTGTAAATATTTTAATTATTTAACCGATACAAGTAAGAAAAAATAAGTTTAATGCGATTAGTCTTTAAGAATATTGTTCAGTGTAAATCTGAACATCATTTTTGGACTCAACAATTGTTAATTATACTATATTTTTTTTTATTTTTTTGTGGCAATATAATGTTAAACTAGTCATTGTGTGACAGATAAACATCAGATTATGACGTAGACTGTATAGATCTTACTAATAAGTGCCGCTATTATTTTTCCTCAGATTTAACTATAAAAAGTAAAATATATTATTATAATAAATTGTAAAATATCCAATTATATTCAATAAGTTTTATCATATCTATACGTCTAAACATTTATTTCCACATTAGTGGATATCATATTATATTCGGTGTATTAGATTAGAAGTAAATTTCACACAACTTATTAATGATTTGTAAATTGATTAAAATCAATGAAGACATTTAAAATTATATCGATATTTTGTGATTATCTCAGCTACTAACATAAAAAAATCATGTGTGATTTTTTCTTATTATTCCTTTGAAAAGCCTGATTTTTTTAAATTATTTATTTAATAACATAGTAGTATTGTTAAAAAAAATACGTAATATATAATATATATATTTTTATTTCATTTTTTATTATATGTTTTTCGAGTCCTCTGTTAATGTGAAACCATTGACTTGAATGAGCATTAATTATCTTGTAATTAACTAATAAACGTGAGTATTTATGTCTGATAATGATTATGTATTTTATTTTATTTTTAAGTATTGTGCAAACATAATCTTTGCTGAACATGGAGGTTCACTTAATCTTAGATTCCTTGTAAATCTACCATCCAATAAAACTGATTCTCCATCCCTGTTATTGCTTATGTATTTTAAACTTCTTAAATCAGCCCTTATCCCTTTTTCTTCTATCCACTATACAATACATGTTAAATGTCTTATGTCCTAAGTTGACCATTAATTTTCCGTTTAACAAAACTGTAAATTATGTGTATTGAGATCAAGAATAATTTGTATAATATAATTGTTAAATCACATAACCTACTTATATATTACTATAGGGGACTTGCATCTACTTTTTCAGTAAAGACTAAACCCGTTCAATTTTATATCTAATATTTAAGATATAACATATTATTATAAATAAATATTGACGGTAAAAAAAAATTATTATTTTATAATATTTACCAGTGGTAAATGATAAGTATTGTGTAAACACTTAAGTAGTTAACCCCATGTGGTAATACAATTTCATTGTACTGAAAGGCATATTTTGAAAATACAATCACTAATAATTAAATTGATTTTTTTTGTTATACTATTTATTTTTCATAAACATTGATTTTTTTTTTTTAAATACCCAAAATATCTTTTTTTGCACAGAGTATAAATATCTGTGTTGAATTCATTGGTTTTTCAACTTTTTAACTGTGAATTAGCTCTCGATTCTTAAGAACCATAGACCAAGTAAGTTTTAAAGTTGGTACTTTGTATATCTCTTGTTTTAATTTTAAATTATTTTAGACACATTTTTTTTACGAAACCTTCAGGTTTATTCAGAAATTTATTGCATTCTCTAATTTTTCCATAACTATTATATTCTGAGGCCTTGGGAAAAACCCAGTTTTTCCAATATAACTCCAAAATTTTAACCATCCAAAAATACTGAGCACGCCTCTGGTAAGGTAATAAAAAGAAATAGGTGGGTGTCAAAAATGGTATGTTGAGGTGTCTAATTTCATGCGTAAAGTGTTGGACTTTGGTGCCACTGATGACATAGTATGTCGTATGTGTATATAATAAATACAAATAAATATTAATATATAAATGTACTTCTTAAAGCTAATATCTCGTGATGAAGTAGAGAAGTTGCCTTCTAACAAAATTATAGTTAATTTAGTATGTAATAATAAAAAGGTGGGCAAGTGGGTGTTGCTCTGCTGTACAGTAGGTTACAAGTGGGTCTTTATGGATGGTGTTAAATTTGAGTTCAATGGTATAATATCATTGTATAAGAAAAAGATTGTGAGCCAAGAAGGTCAGACAGCCTATGAAATTACTAAGTATATTTGATGAATGATGATATTATGCAGTGGTTGAATTGGGGGGGACGCGGGGGGACGGAGTCCAACTTCTATTTTTAAAATATTTTAGCGTACCCCTTCTAATTTCAAGAATTGATAAGACATTTAAATGTTGGGGGGACGCACAAATGTTTTATACTTTTGCATACCCCTTCTATTTTGTTTTCAATTCAAGCACTGATATTATGTGAAATGTGAATTAATTAATAATTAATATATATTATATAACATATTTACGTAGAACATTGTTTTAAATTTTCAATCCTTAGCTATATACTGAAGTTGAAAATCGAAACATTATTTCGATTAATTATCGTGTACATAGGCACCTATAGCGCGTCGCGGCCGTGGTGTTGCGGAAATCAATCCTAATGGAGTAATGAATAATGATTAATGAACTTGGAAAAAAATCCACAAAATATTATATTACGAAGCACTAAATTAGTACAATGAAATTTCAAACATTTTTATAAAAATATAAATATTATTAATATACAAAAAATATTTTTTCATTTTGTGAAGTGTATGCTGTTATTGTAAAATCAATACTTTCATTTTATTGCTCCTCTCAGTATCTAATACAATAAAAATATAAATTTTAAACAATTTACATAGTTACACAGTTCTATAAGCACTTTACAGTTCTAGCAATACACCTGTGACGGAACTATTAGTGATGGGGAGGGGGTAGGGGGCTTATCTCCCCTCCGACCACAGTTTAGCTCACCCAAAAATATCCCTTAATGATTTAAATATAAGCCCCCTATTGGCTATGAGTTATATTTAATTAATAATTTTGTTGGTGGGCGTATCCCCTCCCCCAGAATTTTAACCTTAGTTGTGTCTATGCATTCCACTTTTATTTTTATGGGTTAAAAATAAGTTATAATTATTATAATTTATTTAGTTGCATAAACTTACAAACTCACAAAAAAAGTTATAGTTACACAATTTTAGGGCCGTTCTTACAATGTCCGGTAAAGTGTCGGTTAACGCTAACCGACTGATAACAGATTTTATTACCGGCAGAATTCTTCCGGTTAAGTGTCGGTTAACTTTAACCGGACGTCGTAAGAACGGCCCTAAGTAATGTTATTTTCTCTTTCACCTTCGCCAACGACCATACCACGTTGAATACACCAGTTCTCGTCCGATCACTGAAGTTAAGCAACGTCGGGCGTAGTTAGTACTTGGATGGGTGACCGCTTGGGAACACTACGTGCCGTTGGCATTTTTTGCATTATTTTTTAACATTATTTATTTTTAATTTTGAGAATTTGACTTTCAAGACAATTTATTCTTGTCAGTAGTCTTGTACTGTTGTTGTAGAACAACTCCTTCATGTAATAAATGGAAAAAAAAAATTAAAAATTGGATACTAAAAATGTCCGTATATAGTTCAAAACCAATCCAAGTATTTTGAAAATTTTATCTTGTATAGAAAATGCTAAATAAACAACCAGTAAAAATGTCAAGTATTTACGGTCATTTGTTTTATAGTTACATCAAAAACCAAAATCGATTTTGCCGAAAACCGATTTGATTTGTTTTTTCTGTTTTTCTCGGCACATTTGAACACTAATGGGAATATGGTATTTGGACTTCCCCAAGCACCAACTAGTAGTGGTGGACCCAGGTCTAAATTTTTTTTTTGCGGGGGAGGGAGAGGTCATTTGCCTCTGGATACGCCACTGACAACTAGATTCATTTTCCCATCGAACAAGATACTGGAAGTTGTAAATCGAAGCATTATTTCGTTTTTGCATAATGCAAGGCATTTATATTTACTTGACCTTGCAGCTACTACCACAGTACCACGTCTACCCACCGTTCTCTGTATTTAGCCATCTCTTCTTGATTCTGTACTCCTACATCAAACTTAGGTCCTGTTGTCAGGGCCGTCCCTAGGGCAGGGCGAGCGGGGCCCTCGCCCTGGGCCCCGCGCCTTCACCAGTTGGACAGGCCCCGCTTTTGTAGATACCATAAAAAAGCCAAGTTAATGAGGAAAAAAAAATATTATCTATATATTTTTATATCCTTAATTGCTGAAATTTTTACTACTAAAAATAAATACGGCTATACCTACTTATATTAATTGACATCAGTCGTCAAATAAATGTATTGCATTTAAAACGAGTTAATATGATTAAAATTCAATTTTCAAAGTTTAAAATGATAAAAATCTTCAAAGCGCTCTGTCCCCCCCAAAAAACAACAACTTAGCTATAATATTTATAGAAAAAAAATGCTTAGATTCTGAGCGGAGCGAAGAAATGTATTGATTTTACAATGATGTGTGTTTTTTTTCTGTTTTGTATGGCGCTTTTTGGGTAGTAAAAGTGCTCCGATTTTCTAGATCAGCATCTTTACTGATAGACAAGTGAAACTAGTTGGTATTTTTGGGAAGTCAA